AACAGGACACTTTGGGTCAGAGCTGGGGGTGAGCAGATGAAGAATGGAGCAGGGATGGGTAAGGAGTGAAATGTACCAACGCTTACGTAGAAATTCTGGAGGAAAGGAAGCAAGAGCTTGTGGGGTAGAGGCCATTTGTAGCTTGGGCAGATAGGAAGTAGAGGGGAAGAGGGTTTAAGATTGAAGTTTCTGCAGGTACATGATTAAAACTTCAATATCAGTGTGTATTTGTGAGAGATCATTGAGCTGTTTTTGCTTTTTCCATTTTTCTCCCCCATCTTTCACTGACAATGCCAGGGATGATGCTGGGCGCCTAAAGGAACAATGTGGTCTTTTTATAGCAGCATGAGAGGGGAAAAAACAGAAGTTGGTTGTATTTTAATGGAATTAGAAATCAGCATTTCCATGCCTAGTTCACTGGAGTGTCCTTCCTCATTTTGTTAGCTCGAGTGGTCATGGGATAACCAATATGATTTATTTCCCTTGGTATAAAAATAGGAGCCTTCTGGCCACTGGCAACAGCCTTTATGAAAATTCATTAGGTCATGCCTGTGTAGTGCTTTAAAACTGGAAAGAGCTAATTACAGCTTAGTGCAGTATGTGCCACTTCAGTCCTTCCCAGGTGTTAAATGTTGTAATCCCTTAGATTTTATTACAAACCAAAGTAATTCAGGTGATAGTTCCACTGACACAGTTAACTACAGGCTGTGTTGGCTCTGTAGCTTAAGCAGTTCCTGTGACTTACACTTGAGATTCTGCTCATCCTCAGGCTTTCACAGGATCACAGAATATTCAGAGTTGGGAGGGACCCACGAGGATCATCTAGTCCAACTCGTGGCCCTGCACAGGACACCCCAACAATTCACCCTGTGCCTGAGAGCATTGGCCAAACTCTCCTTGAGCCTCACTGCCCTGGGGAGCTGTTCAGTGCCCAAACAGCTCTGGGGGAAGAGCCTTTTTCTGATAGCCAACCTAAACCTTCCCTGATACAACTTCAGGCCATTCCCTCAGCTGCTGTCACTGGGTGCCAGTGAGCTTGTTTCTCCTGCAGCCTCTCCTCGGGTGGCTGACACGGATGAGCTGCAGAATTCGTCAGAATCTCTGACATCTCATTAACATTTCTCATTTCTCATTGCTGCTTGATTTCTGGTAAAAATTTCCTGAAGTGGCTTAGACAAACATGCCATTAAGTTATTTCTACAGCATGCAAACCCATTTCACTGGGCACTTCCTTTGCATTTACACTTGTTTGCTGTTCAGTGTGTGGCTGTAAAGGTTTGCTGCTCTTGTGGAGGTTTGCTCTGAGGCAGTGGCAGCTGAGTGTCTCCTAACACTGAGGAAAGCACTAGTGAGTAAAATCAGCCTTGTACACTGTCTCTCACATCACTCACCTCTTGAATTTGCTGTGAGAGTTAAGAGAAGCATTTTGAAGTGGTCTCCAGGAGCCTTCTCATTCTCCAAGAATGGAAGAGTGGGATGAGAGCCGAGTTGCTCAGATGCAGCATAAGCTTTGAATGTGTTCAAGGTTTGTTCTTGTTAAAGATAAGTTTCGGGTGGGTTTGGATGTTTACTCCCAGCCGTTGTTGATCTCCACATAGATAATTTTTGCCCTACTTGCAAGTTACACTGAATGTTGTTGGGGATTTTGATGCCACGAAGCTGCAAGGAGGACACTTTATTTTGTCCATATTTTGCATAGCACTGCAGACATGGATGGTGCAGTAAGGGTGGTGGGACAGGCACTTACCCCTGGAGCACAACTTCTGTGACACGTCTGCAAGTGCTAAATCAGATTACAGAAGACAGGAAAAGGCGTGTTCTGCCTGAAGTTACTCTGTCGCTGTGCTGCTCCTTCCCGGTAGCATTACTCTGTTGCAGACTGGTGTTTTTGGTGAATGTTGTTCAGTTTACTGAGAGATTGTATTGAATTTTCTGTTCTGCTTATTCTTTTCTGGGTCCTGTCTCTGCATATTGGTCGGGCTGTTGTACACACAAGAGCATTAAATTAGCTCTGCTGAAATAGTTCTCAGATGGTTACTAAGTATTAGCTAAGCTTAATATTCAGGTGCATAGGCAACACATCCTTGAAATGTGCTTTATTATAGACTAGGATCCTGAGGAGGGCAGTTGTTTGAAGCCAGATGTTGAGGTCTTCCCCTCTGGAATGTGAATGCTCATCCTATGAAACAGCTGTGAGGACACTGTGCAGTGTCTTGAAGTTACCAGTGTAGAGCCTGGAAAAGGAGTGTCTTGCCTGTCATTCCTTACAGTGTTTACTCCATGTTTGTGACACTGACTTTCAGAAACCTTTCAGCAGCCTGTGCACCCTGTGATGTGTTGATGGTCCTCCCAGTATTTATCCTCCGCAGCCTCCCCTAAGTTGGGAGGCAGATGTGGCTTTCCCCTTGGGTCTCCTCTTTGGTGTCCA